GAGACTTTGGACTTGAACTTTTGGGCTAATGCTGGAATGAGTTAAGATTTTGGGGGAATGTTGGAAAGGTGTGACTGCATTTTGAAGTGTGAGGACATGAGATTTTGAAGGGGCCAGGGGCAGAATGATGTGGTTTGGCTCTTATGTCCTCACCCAGATCTTACCTTGAATTGCAGTAATCCCCATTTGTCAAGGGCAGGACCAGGTGGAGGTAATTAGATCATGGAGGTGGTTTCCCCCATGCTGCTCTTGTGATAATGAGTGAGTCTCACAAGAGCTGATGGTTTTATAAGCCTCTGGCATTTCACCTGCTTGCACTCATTCTCTCTCCTTCTGCCCTGTGAAGAGGTGCCTTCTGACATGATTGTAAGTTTGCTGAGGTCTCCCCAGCCACGGGGAACTGTGAATCAATTAAACCTCTTTTCTTTACAAATTAACAAGTCTTGGGTATTTCTTCTTGAGAATGGACTAATACAGTAACTGTAAGATAAATTTCCAGCAGAGAAATTGCTGGGGTAAACAAGAAAGGATTTGCCATTTTCCTTCTTTTGATTGAACCATTTTGCTTCCTCATCAGCAACATCTCAACCTTTTAGCTGGTATTCCTTTCACAGTAGATATTCACCCAGATAGACTCAACACGCATTTTACTATCCTGACATGAAATTCTGAGACAATATAACTTAATCAAAGTCAGAATTTAAAAAAGACAATATGATGCTTTATTTGGTAATAGCAAAGAGAAGTAAAATAAAAGTAATTTATAATAAAATAAGAATTATTTAACTATGTGAAATGCTTGCACAAGATTGAACTACAATATCTAATAATGTTATTAGCTGTCTGTGCCTATATGCAGACTAACTTTGAATGCCACGCCCCAAATGTAGACTGATACAGGTGTGTGTGTTGGTAACTCAGGATCTGTGAGCACAGTTGGTGTTGGAGACTTTCCAAAATGAAAAACAATAAATCAAACAAACCTCAAGAAGCAACTAAACAACTTCTTGGTAAGATTCTGAACAAAGCAGAAGACACCCATGCCTTTATTGACATCATGATTACATTCCTGGACTATTTGGTCTTTATTAAAGCCATGAAAAACTCCTCTTAATTTATGTGTAAAATGGCTTTTAGTTCTAGATTCAGTTGGTTATAAGTGGGGTTTTTCTCTTACCTGAAGGTCCAGTGGGGCATTTGAAAGTCCTTTTATGGGCCTATTCTGCCCCTATCCACTAAATGCCAGTAGGACCCCAAGTTATTATGACAAACAGAAAAAATCCCAACTAGGCTGGGCTTAGTGGCTCACACCTGTAATCTCAGCACTTTGGGAGGCTGAGGCAGGCACATCACTTGAAGTCAAGAGTTCAAGATCAGCCTGGCCAACATGGTGAAACCCTGTCTCTACTAAAAATACAAAAGTTAGCCAGGCATGGTGATGGGCCCCTGTAATCCCAACTACTTGGGAGGCTGAGGCAAGAGAATCACTTCAACCTAGGAGGTGGAGGTTGCAGTGAACCGAGATGTGCCACTGCACATCAGCCTGGGCAACACAGCAAGATTCTGTCTTTTAAAAAAAAAAAGTTCCAGCTGTCCAAAATGCTGCCGGGGCAATGCCCTCTCACACACTGACGAGAACCACTGCTTTAGGGGCTCCTCCAGAATCCCTTCCATATGCCAGGATCAGGTGAATGCTTCTAAAACATTCATTTCTGTTTCACCATCTTTCACTTCTGTTCAAACTCCTCCAGCAACTCCTCATTGTTGCAGGACAAAGTGGGACATCCTCAGCTGGTTAGGATGGAGTGCACAGGTCTACCAGTGAAAGTTTTATATGGCCAGATTCCATGCTTCAACTGAGAGTTGGGTGTTGAAATACAAGCTTTTGGGTGAAAATAGCAAGTAGCACCCAATGCCCTGGTACTACATTTGGCTTACTGGAAGGTGCTCCTGGTCCCTTATCCTCAGGTAGCTGCAGGAACTCCCTGGTTCAAAGTAAGAACATTCTCTTTAAGGGGTATGTGTCTTTGGACAAGTGGCTAAATCCTTCTGGGCCTCATTTTCCTCTCTGTTAAAATGAGACTGCATGATTAGATAGCTTATAGACCCCTTCCAGCACTGACTTTTGTGGTTCTGGAAAGTATATTACAATATGTAAGTGGTAAGACCCCAAATCTTTGGACACCTTGAGTTCTGAGTTTATTAATATCAGATAGTTTAAATATTTTTTATTTTTGAGATACTATGAAATGATCAGCGGGATCCATCTGAAATGTGATGTGCATAATGTTCTGCCCAAGATGGTCTGTGTGTGTTACAAATGCTCAAAACACTGTCCACCTGAGACTATGACTTCCTGTGCCTGGCCTTTCTCATCCCTGCTCTCTAGTTGCTCCGAAACAACTGCAAAATTCACCTGTGTCAGGCTGGCAACGCACAGTGACTTTATTATGAAATGCCTTCATGACCTTAACGTCCAAGTGGCCTTCAGTATAGTCCAGAAGTCAAGCGGTTGCTTAAATATGACTAAGCTGGAAGATTTTGCCGTGCCTCGATGTTCTCATCAGTTAATAGGCATAACAACAGTATGGCTGTCACAGGTACTTTTTTTTCATACACAGTATTGTCTTTCCCTTGTCAAAGTGTATAACTGTGTATTTACCATTATGTTTTTTGTAGTAAAGCCTGTCCTCCTTGTAGTGTGTAAACTCTGTGAGGACAGGTCTCCTGATTTGTTCACTACTGGCTGCCCAGCATGTCCTACTGTACCTATCAATAGAAGATGATTGACAGTTATTGACTGCATGAATGAGTGAAGCCATGAAGGGCTGTTATCATATAGATATCATACACGAAACGGGTGGTCTTACTAAGAGCTAGTATGCACTCACTCACTGGCTCATTCACTTATGCTTTCATTTAGGAAGAACCATCCCGCGTTCCTGACAGGAAACAAATTTTCTCCTAACCCCCTGGTCCAAGCCCTGGGACCCCTTGCCTCCGGGTTCAGGCCGCGCTTGGCTGGGTTTGGAAAGGGCGGGCACGCTTCCTCAGGCGGAGGGTATGCACAGAAGCGGATAATTCATTATAACCAGTTAGTCATCCGTAGAGACTGCAGACACTGCCCGTGGGCGAGACGCACCTGGGGCTCCTGGAGTGGGGCCTGTTCCTTGTGCTGCCCCCTGCGCTGCCCTCCAAGGTGGGAGCGCGACCCGCCAGAGCCCAAGGGAGCTCGAGGTCTGCCCGCACTCGGAAAAAGCACCAAGAGCCCCTCTGTAGCAGTCCTTCTCCCTCGCTGCCAAATCTGAGATCAAGCCCAACATCTGCAGGGGTAACTTTTTCCAGGGACTGCTGGGTAGGAGAGCCTGCCTGGATCCTAACCGGACATCACCTGGCGGAAGCTGGAGCCCACCCTTACCCACTTCCCTGCAACCTGAGGGTGCTGAGGCCGAGGGCGGGTGACAGGGCAGAAGGCAAAGCCCCCATCGCAGAAAGGCATGCAAATGAGAACCCAGGTGTCTGGTGCACCGGGAGCCCCAGGCGACATTAGGAGCACGCTCCTCTCTAGGGTCGCCGGAGTTGCGCTCTGCCTGGCAAGGATGACTCAGCCTCACTCAGGTCGGTCTTTACCGCCAGTCTGCGCGAGGGCTCCACAAAGTTCCCAGTCACACCCCAGACCTCGCACGGGGGAGAGGGTCTCTGCAAGCTGGATCCCGGGGTGGGGGCAGCGGCCAAGGAGGCTGGGGGAAGGCTGGTTCCCCGGACGCGCAGGGGCTTCCCCGACTTCCTTTCTCCTCGCCCCTGCCTCTGCGGGCGGCGAGAAGGTGCCACCTTCTGCGCTCACTGACTCCTGCCCAGTGCAGTGGGCGCCGGAGTGGCGAGCAGGCAATCCCTAGGCTCGAAGAAATCTTTTATCCCGAAATCCAGGATGTTCCCCGGTCAGGATCGACTGGGCGCCTCGTTGGCTTTCTCTCCCAGCCCTGACATCCCGGTCCCCGCCAGTCGCCGCAGCCGGGCAGACTCCGAGCGCTGCGAGCCAGAGCGCGGACCGCTGGGGAGCCCCGGGGCCTGGGTCCGGCGCGCTGGGGGCGGCTGCGCTGCGGCCGGATGCTGGGAGCCCCGCGCTGGTGCGCCCGCGCCGCGGTGGCAGTACCGCCCTCCGCGCCTTCCCCCGTTGGGCGCCGGCAGCAACGGGCGGTCACGCAGCGCTGCCCTCGCCAGAGTCCCCGAGCTACCACCCAGTCCCATCCCCGGCCCGCTCCGCCCCGCGTGCGACCCCGCCTGCAGCTGTGAGCCAGTGCTTTTCCCTCAGACTTCGTTCGGCTTCTTCCCAGGCTCCCTCCAGGCAGGAGAATAGCGTGGCGGGGGTGGAGGGCGCGCCTCCTCTAGGTCCGCGGCTCGACCCCGTGGCCCCCGACCCCGCCCGGCCCAGGGTCGGACCCCGCGCGTGACGCCGGATCGGAGCCACAGCCCGCAAAGTGAGGAGTGCCGCGCCCTGTCCTCGGCCTCCCTCCCGCGCCCCCAACCCCCACCCCGGCTCGGGTCGCTCCGGCCCTCGGCCAGCCCGAGTGTCGCGCCCGCGGTGGCGGACTGCGGAGTTGTAAAGAACTCAGGGGCCGCAGTGGCCCGGGCGGGGCAGGGCGCGCTCCGCTGCGGCCAAGGACACTGGAGTTTGCGAGTCCCCGCCCGCGCGGCGCCTCCCGCCCCACCGCCCTCCCGCCGCGGCCCGCCGGACTCCCCCGGGCCGCCGAGGCGGGGCTGGGCGGCCGCCGCTGCTAGAGGAACGTCTAGCTGCCTCCTCCCCCGCCCGCCTCCCTCCCCACCTCTCTTCCCTCCCTCCTCCTCTCCGCCCTCCCCGCCCCGCCACCCGCTCCTTTTTCTGCTCCCCAAGTGAGCCGGGCGCGCGAGAGGCAGGCGGGGCGGCGCGGAGCGGAGCAGGCAGCCCCGCGCGCTCGCCCACCGCCCGCTCCGCGCAGCTCCCCGCGGCCGCTCTCGTCGCCGCCGCAGCGGGCGCGTCGGAGGGAGCCCAGCATGGCCGGGCCGGGCTCGCAGCGCCGCGCGTCCCGGGGGGCCTCGGCGCTCCTCGCCGCTGCGCTTCTCTACGCCGCGCTGGGCGACGTGGTGCGCTCGGAGCAGCAGATACCGCTCTCCGTGTAAGTGCCGGCTCCTGCGCCGCCCGGGGAGGGGACCCGGCGGCCCGCGACCCGCTGTGCCCAAGTTTGAGCGCCTGCAGGTGCGGCTGGACAGGACCCGCCGCGGGCGTCGGCCTCACCGCTGGCACCTGCCTTTCGGGACCCGCGGCGGGCTGCGACGCCGGGGTAGGATGCTCTGGCCCCTGCCAGCAGGTTGGCGAGTGAGATCTGGAGAGGCTCACCTCAAGTTACGGCACCAACTTTGGAGCCTGTTTACCGAATCCAACTTCCATTGGCCGCTGAATTACCCCCCTCTTTGCTCCCCTGCCGCCCCACTTCTGTTTTGGGAGGGGGGATGGGTGGATTTCTTCTGACTGCTATTTGCCAGGTGATGCCCAGTTTGAAGGATTGAGTCCTCGGGCAACGATTCAAATGAAACTCAGTGGTCTTTTTAGAGAGCCTGGGAGACTTTGCGCCATTCTCAACTCCGAGACCCCCCTCGGGACCCCTCCCGCGCTGCGCTCTGCAGTTTGGTGCTGGCAGTTTCCACCCAGGCGCTTTTTCTATGTTTTCTTCTTTTAAAACGTGTTACATCGCCCTGCTCCTTCAGCCATAGCCCCATGTGTGCGTGTGCGTGTGCGTGCGTGTTGACTGTGACTTGGGTGTTACATTTCTTCTTGTGCCCCTTCTCTTTGTAGGGTGAAGCTCTGGGCCTCAGCTTTTGGTGGGGAGATAAAATCCATAGCTGCTAAGTACTCCGGCTCCCAGCTTCTGCAAAAGGTAAGGTTTCTGTGGTAGCAGGAAGCGATGATTTTTTTTCCGGCACAGAAAATGGAGGCAGATTTAGTTTTCCAAACAAACGTGAGCCCCGAGCAGCATCAGTTATCAGAGGAGTCTCTGATCCCCGGGTTTCTTGGCATGGTACTGTGCAGTGACTTCTTCCTACCATTCGGTTATTTTTAGATGACACTTGATTCTAAACACAAAGAAAAGCAGGATACTCACTCGCACTGTCCTGGCTGGAGCTCGAAAACTGAGTGTTTTTGCATGGCTCTCGTCTCCGTGTTGGTATTGCTGTTTCAGTGCCAGAGCAGACGCTCCTCGGGCCAAAAAATGCTAACTTCATCCAAGGGGCAGACTCGGTGCCTATTTTTAATGCCTTTCACCTTGCAGGGGAGGCGTGGGGTTCAGTGTACCAGAGAAAGACGCTGCACTATTGTTTGTCATCCCTGCAGTTGTACAATCCCATTATTCCCCAATCATCTAGACCCAGGGCTGGGATGCATTACATCATTACAGATAAGGAGAATGAATGTGGTTATCTTTCCACTCAGCTGCACTGCCGGGTAATAACCTATGAGAGTAGTCCACAAACTTAAGAAATGGGTCTGCATCCATGTAATTCTGGAGAGTAATGAGAATGGAGAATTGATTATTAGGCTTTTATCAGAAGCTGCATCAATTTTAATTCAAACAGGCAGCATTTTAAGCATAAGCTTAAAATTGCGTTGTGAAATATATGGTCCTTCATTCTCCCCGTCTCAAAAAAAAAAAAAAAAAGAATAAATAAATGCACCATTACAGAAAAACAAGGACACTTGATAATTGACTTGTGATGCATAACTTTTGTTCAAATTCACCTCAATCAGAAATGAATTTGGGTTTGGGGAAATCACATTTAATGACTTCATCTATGCCGGGCACGGTGGCTTATGCCTATAATCCCAGCACTTTGGGAGGCCAAGGCAGGCGGATCACCTGAGGTCAGGAGTTGAAGAATAGTCTAGCCAAAATGGTGAAACTCCATCTCTACTAAAAATACAAAAATTAGCTGGGCATGGTGGTGCACACCTGTAATCCCAGCTACTCGGGACGCTAAGGCAGGAGAATCACTTGAACCCAGGAGACAGAGATTGCAGTGAGCCAAGATCATCCCACTGCACGCCAGCCTGGGTGACAGAGCAAGACTCTGTCTCCAAAAATTGAAAAAAAAACTTCATCTAACAGATGAAACCAGACAGAAGATCCAGATTTTACAAAGAACTCTTCTTGCAAATACGCACACCACACACACACAAAATAACTCAAATTATCTTGTTGCATTTATTAGCTATAGTTTACCAATTGAAGGCAACTCCCTGAATTTTAACCTTAACATGCAAAATGACTAAGAAATCCATCCTTTTCATTATTCATCACTCATGTTTGTGGAACTCAAACACCAGATATCACAGGAACCGCTACAGTGGAATTGAAACTTTGTTAAGGCAAAGCTACATAACAGCAGGTTGTGTTAACTGCATAAAATCTTTTTTGTTTTTTTGAGATGGAGTCTCGCTTTGTCATCCAGACTGGAGTGTACTGGCACAATCTCCGCTCACTGCAACCTCCACCTCCTGGGTTCGAGCAATTCTGCCTCAGTCTTCCCAGCAGCTGGGACTACACATGTAAGCCACCACGCCAGGCTAATTTTTGTATTTTTAGTAGAGATGAGGTTTCACCACATTGGCCAGGTTGGTCTTGAACTCCTGACCTCAGGTGATCTGCTTGCCTCAGCCTCCCAGAGTGCTGGGATTAAAGGCATGAGCCGCTGTGCAGGGCCTAATCACATAAAATCTTGATAGACATTTGAAGTTTGTGCTGTCCTCAAAGTTACTTGGTTTTCTAGAAGTTATGTTTCCGAAGAGATTTTATTCTCCCTCTACAACTTGATATCAGAAATACCACAAAGACTCAACCTAACATATATGATCATATTTAGCATCAGGAAGATCCAGAAAAAAAAAAAAATCACCTTAGGCAGCTGAACTGAAAGAACTAAGAAAGAATATGCTAATCATGGTTATTGGTCCTAGATCCTTTTAATTACCTCCTTCAACTTCACATTCCAAGAGTACTTTTGGCTTAGAACATGATGGCAAACAGCAAAATGACAACTTGAAAGTGAGTATAAACCATCTGAAACATGATTAAAAAGATGGAACTAAGCTGGGCATGGTGGCTCACACCTGTAATCCTAGCACTTTGGGAGACCAAGGTGGGCGGATCACGAGGTCAGGAGTTCAAGAACAGCCTGACCAACATGGTGAAACCCCGTCTCTACTAAAAATACAAAAAAAAATTACCCAGGCGTGGTGGCGTGTGCCTATAATTCCAGCTACTTAGGAGGCTGAGGCAGGAGAATCACTTGAACCTGGGAGGTGAAGGTTGCCCTGAGCCAAGATAGTACCACTGCACTCCAGCCTGGGCAACAAAGCAAGACTCCTGTCTCCAAAAAAAAAAAAAAAGAAAGAAAGAAAAAGATGAAACTGCATTCCTCTAATTTAGGATATACTTCTAATCAACTTAGACGGCTATGTTTCATACTTTTCTGTCTCTGAATCCAGAACGTTTCTTCTTTTTCTCTTCTGGGTGAGGCTCACGATCTGCAGTCTTTTTCTCATGGTTACAAATGTCCCCTTCATCTTTATTCTTTCCTTTATCACCAATGTCAGTCTTCAGGTTGTCTACATATGGTGGAGCTTCTGCATGAGCCCTGGATACACAAAAAAGAAATCCAGGATAATCCTGACGTCCATCATATTAACCAAATAAGCAAACAGATACAGCTTAGCAGAGCAGCAGCATTGGAATTTGTCAAATATTCTACATGAAGAAGCTCTTCAAATGATCTCTGGGTATATATCCCAAAGAAATGAAAGGGTCTCAAAGAAATATTTGCACATCCATATTCACAGCAGTACTATCACAATACCTTAAAGGTGGAAACGACTCAAAAGTCTACCAACAGATGAATAAACAAAACATGTTATGTACATATAACGGAATATTCTTCAGCCTTAAAGGGGAAAGAAGTCCTATCACAAGCTACAAATGGATCAATCTTGAGGGCCTTATGCTAAGTGAAATAAACCAGTCACAAAAACATATGACTTCAGTTACATGAGTTACCGGGAGTATTTAAAACCACAGAAACAGAGAGTAGAATGTGGGTTACCAAGGGGTGAGGGAAGGGGAAATAAGGAAGTTGCTCTTGAATGAGTTGAGTTTCAGTTTTGCAACATGACAATGTTCTGGAGATCTGTTTCACAATGATGTCAATACACTTAAAACTACTGAACTGCATATTTTAAACTGGTAAAGACATGTGACAGAAGCCCTCATCCAACATCTTCTCATGGAAACCAGACACAATGAGCCCTTCCAGTACAAAAACTAAACGGACTTCCAGACATAGCGCCCCTCCTCATTCTTAATCCCACTCCAATTCTTCCCATTCTCATTCTCACAACTGTCCCAATTGTAACTGAAAGGGTAGAATATCAAGGTCTTTAGAAAAAAAATGGTTAAGATGGTAACTTTTATGTTATGCATCTTTTACCACAATAAAAAGGTACATACATAAAGAAGAAATAGGGGCCCAAAAGATAATACAAGTATTTCCTTTTTTAAAAAATAATACAAGTATTTCTGGTAGTTGAAGCCATTGCTGTAATGATATAATACTAAAATTAATTAAATATTACATAGCTGATTAAATAATAGTGATGTACAAAAAGAAGACTTTTGCTTACAGCCATAATGGAGCAAACTGTAATGGATTTGACTTCCTACTGGGGCAAAAATACAGAAAACTAAACAAAATATATGATTGCTTTCAGATACTGCACAGTATGCAACTCTCTAAGAAAATGGAGCCCTGGCTGAGCATGGTGGCTCACACCATGCTGTAATCCCAGCACTTTGGGAGGCCATGGTGGGAGGATCGCTTGAGGTCAGGAGTTTGAGAACAGCCTGGCCAACATGGTAAAACCCCATCTCTACTAAAAATACTAAAATTAGCCAGGCGTGGTGGCATGTGCCTGGTCCCAGCTACTCAGGAGGCTGAGGCAGGAGAATCGCTTCAACCCAAGAGGTAGA